TCAGGCCAGCCTGGCCAGGGGGAGGGGACATGGGCGATTGGTTGGCCTGTCTGCTAATCGAACTCCTGGTTGAGGGGACAATTTGCATATTAGCCTTTTATTATATAGGACATGCAATGAGTGGGCAGATTATTATGCATTCAGAGATCATAATAATCTGGCCACTCATTGTACAAGTGAAATAGGAGACTATAAATGATAGACCCTCTAAGGCAGCATTTATCAAATACTTGTTATAGACCAGGCACACTGCTAAAACACCTTACGTTGACAATTACGGTTACATATGAGGCATACATTATTCAGTGGCTTTGGTAAAACTGTTTTCACTTCACATTTTGAATTGGGGTGAAGAAGGCGAATCCTGATTGAATCGAGGTGCACATTGAAACAATAAGAGACTGTAACCTCTATCAGTGGGCAAATGGCAGGAGCAGCAGACGGACATGTGAGACAATGCTTGTCAATAATGCTCAGGCTGCCCTTCAAACTGAGGTTGTGAAGAATCAGCATTTCAGAGGACAACTGTTCTGTGTGATTCAGGCAGATCATTCACTCCTCTGAAGGGCACACTCAGAAACAGCCCACAGCACAGAAAACCATTATGGGATCCCTCTCATTTTTGTCTTATGGAAAAGTGTCTCAGAGACTCATTATACATCTCTCTGAAGCCATGAATTCCCATCCGGAGGATTCTCAGTCAGCCCTGAGATCTTGCGGACAGATTCCATCCGGCTGGTGCTGACACAGGAGCTGAATGTCACTAAGTCTGTGTCACCTCTCCTTGGATACAATGGAGTATCGTTGCTTGGAACAATAGGGAACTGACTCACCTCGTCTGCTCATGGAGCTTATGTATGCTGACTCCTAGAAACCTTCCTTAGAGATACCCTAAATTCCCCATGTCCTATTTTCCTGTTCGGGATTGTTGGGTTTTAACTTTTTAAACTCATTTACATTACAGTTATTATTATGATACCTGCATATTCAAGACACTAGGAAGTCTTCCTTGGCATTCAAAGAAGCTAGGTTACTTTTACTCCAGCCCTTTTTAGAAGTAGTCTTTAAAGTAATACATTTTGAAAAGACAAATGAAAATTCAACTGAAAAGACATTTATACACTGAGTGGCCAGATCATTATGATCTCTGAATGCACCTTCATAGTCTTTAAAGTAATTTTGGATTTTTTAAGTATCCCCTTCAATTTAAAGATTTAATTTCTGGTCATTGCACCAGAATTTCTGATTATAAATTTTTTCTTGATTGGTTGGTGATTATGGAATAGCGTCACTTTTTATTTTAATGTTTGTGTTTCCATTTATTCTTAGCATTAATGAAAGAAAGAATAGAAGAACAGGAACCAGAAGTGTTTTAATATTATACTATTTTAAAGGAGACAGCAGAGTCATAATGTTTTTCTATGCCTGTTACATCACTTATCTGTTCTAGTCTGTATGATATTACCTTGCCTTGTAAGCATGGTTGCTTTAGACATATTAAGATAATTCATAATAAATTTCATGGAATGATGTTAAATGATTTGAATTCAGAGAAAATATATGTATTTTTCATTTTGCCTCAACTGTAGCTATTTTAAACAGATATTTAAGGTAGTGCTGAACATAGAGCCAGTTTCTTTTTACAACAAAACTTGGTGGTTTATTTTCTGGTGGTTCCTTCATTGATATTTAAGAAATGGGCTATAGAAGGTATGTTTTTCCTGAGGAAAGATTGGTGAGAAGGAAACTTTCAGCATTCTATTATTTTGGGTCTTTATTTAGGAATGCTTAGGCTGTGTCTCTTTGAGAGGAGTGATGCAGAGTGCAGGCTCTGGACTTGCCTCATCTGAATTCGATTTCCAGATCTGCTTTCCATATGCTATGTGAGTCCCTCAGAACAGCAGTAACCAGAGCACCTACTCACGGGGCTGTCTTGAAAAATACTTGAAGTCATTTATGTAAACCTCTCAGAACTGTGACCATCACATAGCAAGCTATTAAGAACCACTGGAAATATGAAAATAAAAATTAAGAAGACACTGCACCCCATCTGAAATACCTACTTTCTCATAATATCTGAAATAGTACTGATGTAGGCCCATTAAAAAAAAATCTAGTAGCAGCTATCACTGCATTATATATCTGAATTTTTAAAAACATTGAATTCCTGCCTGGACAGTGTAGCTCAGTGGTTGAGCATGGACCTATGAACTAGGAGGTCAGGGTTCTATTCCTGGTCAGGGTATATACCTGGGTTTGCAGGCTCAATCCCCAGTACGGGGCATGCTGATCAATGATTCTCATAATTGATGTTCCCATCTCTCTCTTCCTCTCCTGTCTTCTCTGAAATCAATACTATATATATATATATATATATATATATATATATATATATATATACCATTTAAATATGTCACCATATGAAGAATTGATATTCCTTCCAGTTTGCAGATGGTATTAAGAATGGCAGAGGGGAGGGAGGTGGATGGGAGGAAAAAGAGGTAATGGCTCCATAGGGCACATGAAAGCAGGTGTGGTGGTGGATAAGTCCATTGGAGAGCATGTAAAACTTAGGGCATGTACCTCAGGGAGCAGGCCAGGGGAAAGTTGGCCAAATTTGAAATACATATGCCATGGCTTTGCTGGATTCTACCATAATGCAGAAAGAGCTGTCTATTCTCATTCCTAAGAACCTACTGAGTGTCAGGGAAGAAGGGAGAGAATACAAAGATGCCATCTTTATCCTTTAAGAGCCACAGACTAGTGGAAGTGAGTACCTGTAATGCAGCATGACCAACTCTTACTTATCAAATGCTGTGGGGACATGGGGTTGCAGCAATGGAAGGAACTGACTATTGGAGGAATCAGGGCAATTTCATAGAGGATGTCAGAAAGTGCAGAACAGGGGAAGCAGTCCATACAGAGTGTAGCCCCTGCAGGGACAGGACTTGAAGGGGTGGCTTAGCGTGGCTGGAGAATCATTGATGATGTTTGTTAATCCGATGGTTTGGGTCAGATGATGAGCCCATCTCTGTCCTTTAGAAATCAGGGCTGGCTCTTGAACCATGGGCGTCTTTCCAAAACTGGTTGCCTCCCTAGGAAAATCTTCATTACTATTGTGAATATTTGTAACTCACTTTTAAAAAAACAACAAGTCATAAGTAAATAATATATTTTTTATCATATAGTAATAGACTCTGAGAGCATTCCTTCCTCAGAATCAGGCTAGGCAAATAAAAATAAATAGAAGCTTTGGTTACACTTTAGCATTGACCTTGTTATGTGCTTTCTTCATTACAATCAGTGGAAGTGGGGAATAAGTGTGTCCTTTCATCACTAATCTTACTGTTTTCCCCTGTTTGTCTTGGCATGTCTTTTATGAGTATGAATTTTATTAAGTGCTGAGAGTGTTTCCGGCGATGACCAACTTCCCCACAATATGAGTCACTAAAGAAAGCTGTGGTAGCCATCGCAGCCTAGACATTGAGAGCTGGAGGGAGTTCCAAACTCCACCTGGCCTAGCTTCTCATCTCGTGCAGGAATTCTTGTCACTACATCCTTTGCAGGGGAACAAAGGAAACCGGGAAGCCTCTGAATGAAAGTGGGACATGAAGTTGGGAGTCTTAAAGGCACATCATCCCATTTCTTACTATCTGTGTTTCCTAGGATGGTCTTTCCCACGATCTACTTTCTTAAGAGCTGTAATCCTTTGGCCATGTCTGCCCTCCGGAGACCAAACATGTAATTCTGCTCACACCATGGTGACCATTTAAATATGTCACCATGGTTTGATATGCCTTCCTATGCTGTCCCCTGAACATGTATCTTTAGGAATTACAAAATGCCTCCAATTTCTTCAGTGTGACATGAGTTTTTGGAACGTCCTTTTCTAGTGCTATATAGCAGCCTTTATGTCATTTATGTGTGAATTTTGCATCAGCTTCTCATCATTTTATTCACATTTGGGAAAAACAAAGTGATACAAATTCATTTTTTTTATTGAAATGTTAACTTGCACACCTGACATGAATGAGGTTGGGATATTTATACATCTAGGTCAGAATTGGCCCGCTCTTTAGTGGGAGTGCATGATTTAAAAAAAAAATGTATTTACATAACATTGAGACTTAAATTAGAGTTGCAATCTAATTCTTTTCTAAAACATATAAGTCATTGCAATATTAGCTAACCATTTTTTAAAAACACAATTTAAGCATTTGGGACACCAATTAGTAATACGTCAGTATCAAATTCAGTCAAGGGTCAAGTCCAGGTTTGAACTTTTTGGTTTTCCCTGGTTTTGCCTATCACACTGACACTTTCGCACACATTTCTTTCTGCAAAATGTGTGGGGTGAGGACCATCTAGCCCACAAGCTATATAGGGCCCTGCAATGTCATTTGGTTTTGGCTCTGTCAAGGCATTAGGGGGTGAGTGAATTAAATATTTGACCAAATACACCAGGCTAATTTTTAATTTGATAATTTTGTATGGTCTGCGTATGGTGTCATAACTATCCAATGGCCCTTGGCAGCAAATAGGTTCCACACCCCTGAACTAAATGAAAAGCTAACAAAATTGAAAGTTTCCTCTCCCTGTGGTGCCTTGGCTGATAACCGAGGCCTTTTGGGGAAGAATATAAATTATTTTAGGGTGCCATTACTGTGATATTTCTGCTGAAGGTTGAAGGCTCTTCTTCCCTAGCCACCAGAATCTGAGCCAAATCTTTTCTCATTGTGTATATTCCCGTTGACTGGTATTGCACGGGATGTAGTGTAGCCCCAGTAATCATAATCTGAGTAAGCATCATGGAAAATTGCCTCAAACACTCATATAACAAAAGGTGTAACCAACTTTTGATTTGCAATGCTTGAGTTCTCTTGAATGTCATTTATTTCTCTCCTGCAAAACAGGATGAGGCATGACACTACCAAATCAAATTCCTTGTTGGGTATGTTCTGTGTAACAGACGCTTTTTTTTTCTTTTTCTTTCTCAAAAGGCGTCTAAACAGAAATCACCTTCAGCTGTTTCCTGAGTTGCTGTTTCTTGGGACTTCGAAGCTCTACAGGCTGTAAGTAGACCAAAGTGGTTGCTGTTGCTTGTGTTTTATGAAATGTATTTCGGATTTGTTTCCATGTGCTTTCTTGTATTCATCACCAGGTTCATGGATTAAGAGCTTGCCTTTGTTTTCAATGGAAACTGAAGGTTGGTTTCCCAGTAATTCCAGTGGTTTTGTTTGCTTAGCATTGGCTTGTTTATGAATGTGTTATTGTGATGGCATCATTCTGGTTTGCTCATGTGATGCTGACTTCTTTTTGGACACTTGATTCAGTTCTGAATGGAAAAATGCCACCACACTTCCTCTTCGGGGGAAGTTGGCCTCATTTCCTTTTCAAGATGGGGTTCTGAATGTTAGCTTTTTAAACATTGCTTCTGTAGCTATTGGTCTGGAAATATTATAAGATATTTAAAAAGGACTGAACATTTCTTCTTATATGTTCCTTTTAAGGCTAGGATTCCAAACTTCACAATCTGAATGACTAAGGGTTTCATATCAAATACGTCACTGAAGTACTTGGGAAGGGAAATAATATGAGTTTTAGGCAGAAACAGTTTTTCCTCCCTGAAATGCTTGTTCGCTGACCTAACATGCAATAGTGAAAACACACTTTTGAAAGCTTTTACAATTAGATTTTCAGCCACGGGAGTGATTTTGTGCAGATGGGTGTTGGGAAAATACATCGCCACAATTACTGATGTTCATCTGAAGGAAATGGGAACTTACGCCTTTCCACATGGAAAACGGTTGGGCTGTATAGAGTGCACTGCTCAGGATGGCCCCACTTGGGTGGTGGAAAGTCTCATCTGGTCCTGTGTTTAGGGAAAGGAAGCAGATTGCTCTCCTCTGAACTTGATTCTGAGGTCAAGGCTCCGCAACCTATAAACTTAGTATTGTTGTCAATTCCAGAAGAGGGAAGATTGTCCTTTCACAGTCCTGCCCCTATGGGAGCCAGTATCTCTGTGGGGACCTCCTGACACGTCAGCTCACTAAAGAAAGAACATTCCCAGCTGGTAAGGTGTGGCCAGCTGTCAACACACCTTATCTTCCTCTAGAGTCTAACTTTCCTGATACTGTACCTGCAAGGAGAGCTCATCACCTAGCACCGTAGTCGGCAAACTGCACCTTGCGAGCCATGTGCGGCTCTTTGGCCCCTTGAATGTGGCTCTTCCACAAAATACCACAGCCTGGTGAATCTATTTTGAAGAAGTGGTGGTAGAAGAAGTTTAAGTGTAAAAGATTTGGCTTTCAAAAGAAATTTCAATCATTGTACTGTTGATATTTGGCTCTGTTGACTAATGAGTTTGTAGACCACTGACCTAGCAGCATTTCTTCATTTTGTGTTCCTTGCTGGTTAATTAGCTCTTTTTAAGTAAATTAAAAGAAAGGAAGGAAGGAAGGAAGGAAGGAAGGAAGGAAGGAAGGAAGGAAGGAAGAAAGAAAGAAAGAAAGAAAGAAAGAAAGAAAGAAAGAAAGAAAGAAAGAAAGGAATCCAGAGACTACCTTTTTATACAATAATTCTCTGTGGACTAATTTTACCCAGGAAATAGGATGTAAGCTGTTATAAAGATTATGTGTATGTATATAAATTAATCCTTATCCTAAATAATAATAGCCTAATATGCAAATTGTCCCTCTGGAAGTAGTTCAACCATAGTTTGACTGGGAGACCTGGAGTTGAACTGCTCTCTATGACATGCCCTGACCACCAGGGGATGGCGTGGAATATGGTGGGCATAGGCCAGGAAAGAGCATGCTGCCCTCCTGGCTTCTGTGTGGTGCTTCTGGGCAGCCCAGAGGCTCCCAGCATCTGGCCAAGCTCACTGCATCTCTGCAGGGGGACTTGGGCGCCATGACTCAGACAGAGGGGGGCACATGGGAGGCCCAGGGCTCAGGTGCTACCCAGGGCCCAGAGGTCAGCTGGGACCTGCCCTTTTATGCCAGACCAATATGAGTCACAAACTGCCCTGTGGAGACCAAATGTGCCATGCTTAGATTGCAGACCAGGCCTAGGGACTGCACCTGTGCATGGATTTCGTGCACTGGGTCTCTAGTCTTTAAATGCTCGTGCTTAGTTTCTAAGAAGGATCATAGAAATGGGTTCAGGAGTATCTTTCTGCTTTAATGTTGGGTGGTTGAGGGGACTTGGAAGCATGGGTTCAAGGCTAGTGTTCAGTGAGCACTGTTAAACTACCAGTTTGCTAATAGTGTGCTTCTAGAAACAATTCACATTATTTAGGAAAGTGTCCATTTCCTAAGAAGCTGTGAAAAAAGAATTTAAATAGAATGACTGTCATTTAGCGTTTAAGTTATAAAGCTAAAGAGGTGAAGAAACTGAACACTGTCTCTGAGAAATAAAGTTTGATTTTTTATAAGTACTTGGGTTAATGTTTTTTTAAGAGTCTTCATTCCAAGTGGTATAATCAAGTTCAGAGTCCTCTACCAGCTGACCATATTCAGTTATCACTTTTTTTTCTTTTCTTCTTTTTTTAATTTATACCATCCCATAGTACAATATCACAGGGGATTTTCTTTTCCGGTTTGTTAAAATTTTGTAACTTAAGCTGCTCTATGATTGACGAAGACTTCAAACCTTAAAGAAATGAATTAAAAGAAAGAGAATCCATAAAACTCTAAGGCAAGAATTTTCAGTTATTTAAAAGCCTTTTAAAAATGGGAAATGGTTAGACAGGCAATGAGTCAGAGCTGTGATGTTCCTGTATAGCTCCAAACCCTCCCCTGGGGAATGAGGGAAAGTGAAGTTTTGTTTTTTAAATGGGACTGGTTGCAAGTGGGACTTGAGTCCTTTGATATTCCTGAAGTGAGCCCTGGATGGCTCAATGTTTACAATCCCTTGGGGGTTGACACCTGACCCAGGCACTGCATACTCTTAGAAACCTGGAGGTGTCATTTTTTTTCAGCATCTTCCCATCAGGAATCTTCTTTTGAGTTGAGGTGCTGCTGTTTCACTTGAATTCCATTTAGTGGATTGTTAGCAGCCAGTGATCTTTCTCTGGAGAGGGTCACTCACAAGCTACATGAGGCCAGTTGTTTCTGACAGGGACCACTAGTTGAATGAAACAGCCACCATGCAGAAATGTTAATAAATAAAGGAACAAAAACTTGGGAAGCCCACTGCCTGGTTAGTGTAATGTCCAAGAGAAAGGGCATAAGTTCCCATTTCCTTCAGATGATACAGGGGCCTCCTAGCTCACCCTAAAGAAATGTTCTAGCACGTGGGAGAATGGGCACACATCTACATACAAAACTCCTTGAAAATGCTCATTTAAAAATGAAGCTTCCCTTCACTGCCAGAAAGCAAAGGGTGTAGGATTTTTGACAAATAACAGGGAAAATATTTGGGGACAGGAAAAGTATTTGACTGGTTATCGCATGTGCATGTTAATCAACCCACAGTTTCCATATCATGTAATGGAACAAAGGCAAACACATCTAGGATTCACGAAAGAAGCACACTTAGAATTTATCTTCTCATTGTAAATTGTTGCATAATGCTAATGAACCTCTCTCTTTTTCCAAGCCTACAGTATCTTTAACCCTTTTTTTCGTACTATTTTATAGGGTATAAAAGCAATGAAAATATTTGCAAGTTTACTATATTGTTCATACACTGATGTTTGATTTTTACCCTTGTTTGCTTAGAGTAAAGCTAGTCTGATGTACTGGAAATGACAAAAGTGGCCAAAAATAGGTAAAAGTAAATAATGCAATAATTAATAAATAACAATTCAAGGATAAACCCTGTTTCTCATACAACTGTAAGCCTACTTCTCCCCACCCCTGAGTGTGTATGTATTTGTTGCCCTTTTGTAACGAATAATCACCATTTGACTCTTGGTTGAACATGAGATGCCAGGTGAAGAGCAAACGAACTCGCCTTTGGACTCCCAATGCAATCTGAAGGGAAGAGAGGGCGCTCTGTGTATGAATTACGATTCGACACGGTTGGTTGCTGCTAGCGGCCAAATATGCTTTTCCTTTGCTGTCTGCTCCAATTTCTCTTTGGACGGGTTGAAAGAGCACTACATGTTCAGGTCAAGATGTTTGCTCAGAAATAGTAGTACAGTTGCAGCTGTGTTTGTTGGAGCAAGAGACTAGTTTAAAGAGCATTACCATTTATCCAGTCCATTAACAGGACTCTGTAAAATAATACCAACTCTGCATAAACTACAGGACAGTGTAATAAAATTACAAGCACTTGTTGACAGATGGAAAGTGTAAGTGGAGGGGAGGTGGAGGGCCTTCGGTTGGAGGTTAGAAGAGACAGTACATGGTTTTCCTCGGGTATGTAGATACTCCATCCTCTCCTTGGTTCCTCCTCCAAAACGGAAGTTGTGTTTTTGTTATCCATGTAAGGAGTGGAGAAAATTATTTTTAGAGGAACCTGGATCTGGTTAACGGACAGATTTCAGTGGCTTTTGAAATGGTCAATTACGATCGATTGAAATGTGTGAGTAGCAATTAATTATTGAAGATTGGGTAGCATATACCAATCTTCCTAAGAAATGTCACCTGAAAGGTGACTTCCCAGGGAGTGAGTCACACTTTTCAACTTGAGTTTATAACTACTAAGCTGGGCTTGTTAGAGAGGAATTTCACTGGCAGCACTGCCGTGGAGTATTTGGTTATAAATATTTGCTTTGTGGTTTTCAGTTTATTTCTTTCAGTGTTATTATATTTACCCAGGCCTCGACCATAAGCTTAAGGATCCAACGCATGTAGCAAAAACTGATTTTTCACTTGTATCTACCAAAACAAAACAAAATTAACAAAAATAAATGCATAGATCCCATGATTCATTTTCTTTATTTCTTTGAATTAAAGTTTTGGTGTTTTTGGATTTTTTTTTTTTTTATCGCTGGTTCAGAAGTAGCATTTATTATTTCCCAGGGAACTTCAGAGCCATGAAATTACCTAATATTAGAGAAAGTAATTTTAAATCCAAGGACTTTTTTATGCCCCAGTAACTAATTACCTGAGAAAAATAGATT